CCCCCTCCAACCCCCCATCTCTCTCTCTCTCCTCTCTCTCGTCTTGTTCCGGCGGTATGCCCTGAGTGAGAGAGACGCAGACATACCGTTCGCTCAGTGACAGGTGGGCGCGGTCAGGTGTTATTGCCTGCCCAGCCATAGACCCAGCACGTCTCCCCCCTCCCCCCCTCCTCTCCTCTCCACCCTGCTCCGACACAAAAGGCATAGGCCCATTTCAATGAGACGCGCATATTTCGCCAAGGAGAATATAAGTAGCCTAAGCGAGCTCTCGACTCGCCCGCCGCGTGCCAGCGCCAGGCACGCCACTCGGGCAGCAAATGACCCCGCGCATTGGGCTCGCATTGGGCAATAACGAGAGTAGTAGTGTCGTCTCACGTAGTCGACTTGAGGACATTTAACTACGCATAATGTCAGCAGAGGTAAAACTGTCGACGTTCAATGCAGGAGGAATTTTTGGAGGGCTTTCAGTCACGCTGCGCTGAAAGTGTGAGGAAAGGAAGTTCCAGTAAGTATCGCGGCACTACTACCACTTTCCTAATTACTGAAGCATAGGCTAATGTCCAACTTGATGATTCAGTTATTGCATTTTTTTTTTGCCACCCGTCTCTCGCCTCCTCGTCCACACCCTTCTTCCCGCGTTCACTCCCTCCTCGCGGAGCTGCAGCAGTCGTTGCACTCGTTGCACTTGTTGCGGCGTGGTGCAACGCATTGTAGGTAGATGCACTTGCGGGTCGCGCTGCCGCTGTTGCCATTGTGCTGTGCGTGCCGATGGAACTGGGCGGACCGACTGGGGGTCAGAGCGTCTACTTTATGCCCGATCACGATCGAATACAACATCATACCGAGAATCTGTGACAGCAGTGCCGTCAAATGACCTCCCCCGTTCACGTTTGTCTCATCTCTCTCTGTGTCTGTCTTTCTCTGTCTCTCTCACTCCCTCTCTCCGTCTCTCTCCCCCTCCCTCTCAATCTCTTGCATGAAAGAAAAAAATGGACTGCGTTGCACTCTTTGAGCACTTGGCATGCAGTGAACAACACAATGCCGACGAGATAGGTGCGTGATGCGACGCATATTGAACCGTCACACACACAGTAGCCACTCGCGGACCCGCGGCAGACCCTCGCGTTGGCGAGGCGAAGTCACGCGCAAGGCCCGCCGCGCTCGGAGGAAATGTCACAGCAGCAGCAGAGCAGTCTGTGGTGGAATCAAACTCATATAAACGTAAAAAGCGTGCAAAAACATGACACATGCTGTACACATATCCATCAATATGCGTGGCAAAGGGTAATGAAAAAGTTTTGTAAACAGCCGTTTGGTTCTCAAACACTTCTGTGCTTTTGTTAGGAGTGAGGAGAGGGGGGAGAGGGTGGGGGCAAGAGTGGGGGGCAATGTGTCGTCTAAACGGGGTTCATTACGTGCTTACTCGCTACGGTACTTGCACGGGCACACGTTTTCTCACCCGACGAAACGCAAGATACACACATACAAACACACACACAGGGCGCGTGCATACAGACGTCAGCCGGCGCATTTCGCACCCAGGCGCTCCACAAAGTGCGTGGGAGGAGAAGAGAAGTGAGGACCCCGGCCGAGC